AATTGAAGAAAAAATACAGAACAAAAATTATAAAGGAACAAACTTAAGGTTACCAAGATAACACCCAACATGCCATTATTGTTCGACAAATATTTTACTTCACAAACAAACACACTCCGGATAAGTTGCCAAGCTAACAAGGAATTAGCATTCACCAATCCTATTGAAACTCACTCGCCTTTTCTCACAATAGACCTTAGTTGACTCAAGCATTAGAGTGACCCAACCTCAATCCATAACAAATGCCCTTTGTTACCCTCCTTCATCAACTCCATATAACACGACTTCATATTGATATTTCCCCTCGAAACCTTTGTCATGATCATGTCATTCCTAGTCATTTCTTGACATGCAGTGCACTAACCACTTCCTGCACTAATTCCACTTCCCAATGAGTAAGTTCCACCTAAGTGCTAATTGAATGCATGTCATTTTCTTCCCGTCAAAAATCCCTTTTAGATATGGCAAGAAAACCAGATTTCAATACCAAAGATCTGCTTTCCCCTTCTCACAGTAGGCTTTTTGGAATTTCAAACTCAAGAACATATTTAAGTATAAGTAACGGATACATAACTACTATCTTGCCCTGTTAACCTTCTCGCAAGCCTCTCCGTATTGGATTCCAATGTCAAAATATCGACGTAGACTATACAGAACCAAAAAGAGAAGTGTTGATAATTAAGAAACATCCCTACCTTACAATCAAAAACAGATTTGACATCTCTATGAGCAACTAAAAAAATCCTCAACCAATAGATTTATAAAATAATAACTATAATTTATCATCATTTTCATCTTATCTCTTTTGAATTAGAAATCAAAACCAAGATATCTTCATAATATGTACATTAGTCCCAAACACTCACTTTTTCAAAACAAAATTCTTCGTCCTAACCTTCACAATCTACCAATATGGAAACTGTTCTCTAACCATAACCTTTCTAAATAGCTTATTTATTCAGACTTTTGGTGATTTAAAAATAAATAAAAATCTTTCAGCTACAATATATGCGAGCCTAATAACTTCCCCTCATCCTTTTCCATGACAGATTAGCTCCAATTATTAGTTCATTCTAGAGAGTGATAAGGATTTTTGTAATAGCAATTGCAGAAAGAAAAAATAGTCCTAAACGAACTACAACAGTATGTGATAAATTTAGTACGTTCAACATATTACAATTGAATAGTCGAACACGACACTGTAAAATTAAATTGAGGAAATTAAGAGTGAATCCAAAACTTAATTACGCGCCACTCCAGAACTCGAATTCAACTGAATTCTACACTTAATGAAAAAAATCACACTAAATTAGAGTTCAACAGAAACTCAATTTTCAATCTACATGAACAAAAGCTTGCTTAAACAGTAAAATTTAAAAAAAAAATACTTACCTCGCCAGACACTGATTTTTAGGGCTTCTTTATTGCGTCCTCTGATATAGTTCCCCAAATACCTATGTAGCAAATACGCCACCTGATCCTCCAACATCATTCCGTGAGACACGGAGACACGTTCCGTGTCTCCGTGCGTCATGGAGGCACGGCGTGTCTCCATAACATACATACAAGAAATGACAATTGTTCTTTGGCTTTGACATTTCCGATGGTATCAAAGGAGAAGGACTTCACCTCCAGGGCAATGGTTTTCCGTTAGGGTTTTCACGAAGAGAGACACCACAGGGAAAAACAAGAGCTATGGCATTTTGAATGGAAAGAAAGGCGGTGGGCAACAGGATCTTTTAAGCCAAACGACGTCGTTTTGGGAAGGATGGCAAGAGTGCAACACGTGGCAGAACAAAACTCCCTCTTTTATGTTGTTAGGATAAATTGTGAAGGACTACAAAACGGGAATGAAAATTAGACTCTCTTTCCTTACTCAATAATTGCCTACCAACCTACTAACAACTGCTTCTATTTATAACCCATTCACTAACAGAATTATTCCCCCCAGATGCTCCCTCAATAGATTTTAGCTGAGCCTTTCTTCCAGAAGATTCTCCGCCTTTCTTGCGTCTTCTAGAATAGGTGAGGTGGATGGGAGGTTCAAGGAAGACATCCCTAGCTACAAGTATGAATTTTATTTTCAACCAAGATTGAGCTTTGCACGTTGTTCATGTGAAAATGCAAATCCTTCCTATGTTAAAAATACAAAGTAGATCATAAATTTTTAATGTGTGAACTACATATATGTGATTATATAAGAAATATCTACTTGTCATCAAGGCAAGAGCAATGCACAAATTGCTGAATGAGTGCGCTTGCACATGCATGAAGAATCACAATTCATCATATATGGAAAGGATGAAAATTAACCCAAGGGAGTGGCAAAGTAAAGAACAGCTAACACCAAGACCATTATTCTTGACATAGAAACTATTAAATAATTTATGTAAAAAATAAAGAATTCTCAACGATTCCCCCAAAGAGCATATCATCCACTGGTAAAAGGGAATCACATGTTATTCTGGATTGGTATATCAGACAGTAAGATGTTATTCTGGATTGGTATATCACCATAGCTCGAGCGACTTAGCAAGATTATGTGTCTGTTTTAATGTTACTAAACATTTAGTAACAGGAAAAGTCAAAATTTACGCCAGTCTTCCAATCTCCTAGAATCATGACATACATACAAGACTAACTAATCAACATTTGATTCCACCACAAATTGATAATAGTATGAATCAAGGACTTAATTACAACTTATACGAACTACCATAATTCATAACCATTTTTGTCTGTGAACAATGACTTTACATACATATTTATGTAATTGTACCCCTACCTGCCAAAGAAATTGGAAGCTTGGGCTTCTCCTCTTTTTGTGAGGAGAATATAGCAAAAGATTTACAGAAAAACAATGGGAAGTGAAATTTTATGAAGTGTTGAAAACTTCACTCACTACTCTCTGTATAAGAGAAAACAGCATTTCTTCACAATTAAGTAGACATAAGAGTTCTTGACAAGAGCTCCAAAATAAGAAAGGAAAGTAGGAAGGTTACAACCTTCAAAGAAATGCCAATAGATGGAAAATAGGAAGATGCTGAACAATATTCTCATAAATTTCTCTATCAACAGAACAGAACAAGCTGAATCACTAATTAATCCACATTAGAACTGAGCTCAACCGCCTGAAACTTTAATATGACAATTCCCTCTTTAAATGAATAATTGATACCAGATTCAAGGATAATTCTTACCTAATTAATCATCCAAAAAACATATGCATTACGATCATGTAACACACCACAAACCATCCAAGAAGAAAGAAAAGTATAAGAAACGGGACCAAATTATAACAGAATCTACATTCTGAAATCTTGTTCTAACATTCACTGATCAAATTCATGCCCATAGAAAGAAAAGCAATTACTTTGCATGCGAAAAATTCTCAATAGAGGGCATCTATTAATTTCTGAAAGTTATTGAAGAAACACTATGCCACAAAAAATAACAATATTTGTAAAATGAAATAATATCACCTGATTCTCTGTAGAAAAGAACTCTTCCTTCTGAAAGTTATTGGTTGACGCTGGAGTGAATAGTAGATGCTTACAGGCCTCTTTTAGTATAGTTATTGTAATGGCCAATAATTCAAAAAGAAGAGAACAGCTTGTAAAATACCAAAAAAGTCACTTTAAAGCATCTAGATTGGGACAAATGTGTTTAAATTTAGTTTTTACGCAAACCCATGCAAACACCATTTGTTTTCTATCACAATCACAATTTTCATAAACGGATAGTGGTGGAACTTGATATCACAATTTCATCCGCAAAACCTTGTTGAAAACTAAACCATTAGGAAGAAAAAGCATTTATTCATTTATGTGTCCAACAATAATCATGAGGGTCTGGTTTGCTTTCAATAGTTTCAATAATTCTGGAGTGCAAGACTTCGTCTCGTAAGCTATTTCTTTTAGTGTAAGAAGAAGCCGTGTGAAAGCGCTATTTACTTCAGTTGGATGATTGCTAACATTGTTGCATTTTGTACTACTTCAATATTTGAAACACAGACGTGGGTATATACCTACTACATCACCTCCAAAAGCAATACCTGAAACAATTTCAAAATCATTGAACTTTATTCAGCTAACAGCATTTGTATTCTCATTGCCAATAAGAAATTGAGACTACATTTCACTCAGAGAACAAACCTTCCTTTAGAGAACTCATTATACTTAGATTCCACTTATACTACAAAATCATGGTGGAAATTATGTGATTAGTAAAAGAAAAAAATGTAAACAGCAGACCTAAGTAAGACGTACCTAAAAAACATCAGATCAACTATAGACTTTCTGCACTGTATCCAACAAATGAAGCAAAGAATCTAGCAAGTTGTACAACAATTTTCCCGACCAGAACAGGAAGGCAATGAAAGGTGTCATCCTTCGATTTTAGAAACACCTTGTGCACACTCTCATCCAGTTGACATATTCTTTGTTTCCCAAGAGTTCCAATGACGATGTAAAAGAGATTTTGTATGTCGTTGAATATAAGTGTTTAAGTTGTACCCCATGGATTTCATTTTGCTTAAAAGATCAAAAGCAAGAGCTGATTTCTCTTGGGAACAAAGAAGAGCTTGGAGCATATTGTTGCATATTCGTGGCAACAACCGGTAACCTTTCTCATTGGTATAGAGGAAAACTTCAAATGCTTCATCGAGTTTTCCTTCATGGCATAGGCCATGAATTAACATCACACAACTCGGAGCAGATACATTAACACAAAACTCCTGAAGAATAGAAAATATCTTATGAGCCTCTTCTACTCTAGATACTTGACATAATCCAATCAGCCAGATGTTATAAGGAGATGAATCAAAATCTCTCAACTTGATGTCCATATCAAGCAACCCTCTAACAGCATTCTCCATGTCCCCTTTCTCAAAACATTTCTCGACTATATTGATTACTTCATTTTCCTGGCTACGTAGGCTTCTCAAGTACTTCAACCAAAAACTAAAAGCTACAGAAATCTTCCTCCTTCTGCAAGACCAAGTCATTAGTGATTTGTACACAGATGAGGATCCGAATGTGGGGAAGTATAAGTATTGTTCGAAGAGCTTAAATGCCTCATGTTCTTGATCAACTCTTTGAAGACCATCAATAAGCGTACCATATGTCACTGAATCAGGGAGAAGGCCCTTGAGCTGGAGTTCCTCGAAGAGCTTAAGAGCACCATTAATTTGTCCAGCTTTGCACAAGCCATGGATCAGGGTGTTGTACGTCCTGATGTCTGGTACAACCCCACTATCACTGAGTTGCATGAGTAGCTTGTAAGCTTTAAGAATCAACCCAGATTCACACAACTTCTCCACCATTTTCTGTAGGCTTGCACTATCAAGAACACGATCAGCACCTTGAGAAAGCCGAAGAAACAGTGAAGGGTTCTTCCCAATTTCCATTTTGTAAAACACAAGGTGAGCTTCCTTAAGCTTACCAGCCTTACACAGCCCGTAGATTAGAGTAATGTAGTGATTTGGACCTTTGATTCCACCAGTAACAAGCTCAGATAAACCACAATCAGCGCAACAATACAATNAATATCTGCTGAGCCTCACCCAGCAGACCATTCCTACACAAACCACAAATGAGGATAGTGTAAGTGCAAGTGTCGACAAACTGATCGTGCTGAGAAATCTCTAGCTGAAGCGATCGAGCCTGGTCTAATAACCCCACATTGCAAAACCCTTTGATCAATGCATTATAACACTGTGTGTCTGGAATGATACCTCTTCCCATCATATCTCTCAACAAATTCAATGCACTCTTCACCCTTTTCGCATCACTTAGCCCGCGTATCATAATAGTATACAACACAAGATCCGGTGTTAAACCCACCTTGAAAACCTTCCAAAACAATTCCTCAGCTTCACTAATCCTCTTGGCTCGAATCAAACCATTGATCAGATTACTGTACCCCTGTATCCCAATCACATAACCATCATTCCTAAATGACTTCAAAAGAGCAAATGCCTCATCAATCCGACCCAACTTACAGAACCCATTGAGCAAAGCATTGTACGTTATAATATCTGGACTATATCCCCTACTCTTCATCAAATAAAATAACCTATATGCATCATCTGTCCTCCTCGCCTGACACAACCCCGACATGATAACCGTATATGTAACCTTACTAGGCAAGATTCCCCTCTCATTCATCTCATCGAATAGCTTAAGTGCATCCTGAGTTTTCCACTCTTGCACAACCCATCAATCAAAATGGTAAATGTGGAGCAACTTGGCTTACAATTCGACTTCAACATCATGTTATAAACTGCCAATGCCAACAAAATCACATCTTTCTTAACCATAACGTGCAATATAACATTATATGCATCTAGATTTGGCATGCACTCATAATCCTTCATCCTACCAAACGTCTCCACCGCCTTTTTCGCCCTTTGCAACCTCCAATACCCTGACATCAACACCACAAAAGCATCTGCGAAAATGGGTACCTTCTCGTTCCTCATATCATCAAGAACACTCCAGCACATATCAACTTCATTATTGTTACCATTCTGAACATTCGAAAGCATCTCAACAATTAAATTATGGGCGAACCCGCTCCGGAGGAGTGGGCTCCTGGCAGCCCAAATGAAGAAGCGGAAACAAATTTGCGGGTGTTGCTTCAGCTGGGCCTTTTGAATGGAAACAACGGTTTGCTTGTTGAGAAAAGGGCTTACCTTCTCGAGAGCCGGTTCCATTGGGCGGACTTCATTGATGAGTGTGAGGGCCTCGTTGGCAATGTTATGATTGTCAAGCGAAGTGAAAGTGGAAAATGGAGTAATGTATCGGGCTCTCATCGAACGGAAGATTGGGGTTCGAAGGAGTTTCTGCATAATAGAAAGGATTTAATTATCATCTTTCTCAGAACATTTGGTATTTGTCGCACAAATATTAAAATCATC